CGAAGTGCGTAGAGCATCTCAACGAATATTACAAAGAGGTGGGATCGTCTGGCATGTATATGACTCCCGATCAGCACAAGACGTGCATGACTTCAGTCGAGCGCTGTTTGATTTTTTATGGAGCTTTAGCCAGCCGGGGGAGGGATGAGAAACAGCTGAAACGGAGCACGGTGAACAAACATCATTAGCTGTGGCACACAGTTCAATCTTCAGAATTCATGAACCCACGGTGGTCCTGGTGCTACCAGGCAGAAGACTTCATGAGGCATTTCGTTCGCGTGTGCGCCTCCATCATGGTCGGCAGCGACATTTCAATGTTTCCGCGCAAACTGTGCAACGGCTGGCGCATAGGGGGGTATGACGCACGCTTCGCGATGCATCTGCTCCCGCACTGCCCATTTGGCGGTTGGAGTGGAGGGGCGGGTTGAAGCTGGAAAAAATGAAGTGACTGAGGGGAGAGGGGAGGGGTTAACGGGGTTATGCCGAAATAGCCGACGAGGGGGAAATCAAGGCGACAGAGAACGTCGGCCTGGTGCCCGCTGGGCACGGGCGGATTTCGAGACGTCACGTTTAGTTGCGGATTGAACGCGGTTCGGCCGCGAACGGGTGGAGGAAAAGGAGGAGGAGGAACACGAGGATAACTAATCGGAGGAAGAAGAGCTCTGGACCGATGCTCAACGTTGCCCAAGTTTGGGAGCGCGGCCGCGCGATGCGGCATTTGCGATCCGCGCGAAGGCGCGGCCTGTCGAGATGGAAACGGGCTGTGTCTCAATCCACCAGTTCATGTACCTCTCGTTGATTCCAAGACCACAACCATTATCACTACCATCATCATCAACACCAGTACTACCACTGTTACCACTACCACGGCCACTGTATGCGGTGCAATATATGTGGAGCAACCAAATGTAGTATATGTGGTGCAATCTACGTAGTGAAATATATCTGGAGCCACAAGCGCTGGTGCAACGTGTGTGGTGCAACCAATGTGATGCAACCTACATGTCACAATCGACGTTTCGGTGTAATCTTCCGTGGTGCTACCTATACGGCGCAACCCGTGAATATATATGGTACCATCAATGTGGTGCGATCTTCCGCCGCGTAGCGGTTCTAGGCCCCAGCGCGGCCAACGCAACTCAGCAGCGCCCCCATTGCACGCAATTCGCGAGGTGGAACATGTAGGGAACTATGAGAAGAAGGATGAGGACGGGGGAGAGGAAGTATTATGATCCTCCGAATCCTACCCCCCTCTCATCCACCTTGTCTCCCCCATCCCCCCCGCCCCTGGTCCGCTGCCCCCCGGCGGCGCTCGACCGCCCTGCCCGACCCCCTGGCCAGGGCGCAGCCCTGCCCGACTCCCCACGCGACCGCCGCACCTGTGCCCGACGCCCTTCCCAGCGCCCTAGTTGAGGGCGCAGCTGCTGAGGCCGCAACAAGGCGTTCCGTCTCCCCATCGGCCCTTCTCACCTCCCTTCACCTCGTCATCCCTCCCCTCATTCCTCTCTGTCATCCTTCGCCCCTCCTCGCCCCCTCATCGGATCGCACTCTTTCTCGCACGTGCACTGCCAAACGTGCCCGTCAATCGGCGCATGCGACGCGGGGAAAGAGGGGGCGGGGAAGGGGAGGGAGAGTAAGTTCATGCGGAGTCGGAGGATGGGCCAGGAGCGTAGTTCTGTTGTACATAACTGATTCGCTTGTATGCCCGTACGTCCATCGGGTCACATTTCGAAGACATGCGACCGAATGTACGTACGTTGCATTGGCCAAGATGCGTTGTTCGTTTCTGAAGTTGCTACGATCAACATCTCAGTTTCACCTGGTCAACATTTCTAACCCGTCTCATGTGTGTAAGCATGCAGGGCTCGCGGTAGGTCGAATGTGGTGTACTAAACGACGCGCCTAACCATCGCGCCCCATACACGTGCGGAAGTGAAGATCACCATCGTCAGCATCATCATTATCATCATCACCATCAGCATCATCAACATCAGCACCATCATCATCCTCATCAACATCATCATCATAATCAGCATCAGTATCACCACAATCATCATCATCATCATCATCAGCACCATCATCACCATCATCCTCAACAACATCCTCGGCACCATCATCATCATCGTCATCATCATCACCATCATCACATCACATCACATCATCGCACCTCGCGCACTCGCGACGGCGATGAGGATGGCACTGGAGGGGATTGCTACCGAAATTTACGCTCGATCGCTACCGAATTTGCCCCTCGGTCGCGACCGAATTTCGTTTTGCCGTTACCGAAATTGGCCCCTCGGTCGCGACCGAATTTCGTCTGGTCGCGACCGATTTGTTTTCCGGTCGCGAAGGCCCCCTTCGTTGCTGGAATTTGCGCCTCTGCGGGAACGCCTGGAATTTGGTTTGAGCAGAAAACGCCACTAGTCACTACCCACCACTCACTACTCGCTACCAACTACTCACTACTCACTATTCACTACTCACTACACACTGCTCACTAGGCACTAATCCCTACTCGCTACTCTCTACTCCCCACTCGCTACTCATTGTTCAGTATTCATTACTCACTATTCACAACTCGCAAATCAGTACCCAATACTCGCTATTCCCTACCCACTACTCACAACTCTACTCCCGACTCGCAACTCACTAGTCACAACTCGCAAACACTACTCACTACACACTACTCGCTACCCCCTACTCCCAACTACTCACTACTCACGATTCGCTACTCACTACTCCCTACCCAACACCCAATACTCTTTACTCTGTACTCACTGCCCACCAGCGCGTGCTCACTTCTCACTACTGCTTACTCACTACTCACTACTCACTACCCAGTAGTCACTACCCACTACCCACTACCCACTACTCACTCATCTTTTCGCATTACTCACTAGTCACTACTCACTATTCCATACTATTCCGTACCAGTATTCGAATACCATTTCTCACGATTCACTACTCCCCACGCCCTACTCACCACTCACTTCTCGCAATTCACTACTCACTACTCACGACCCCCTGCTCAATACCTTCTCGCTAATCGCTACTCACTGCGCCCTACTTACTACTTGCGCCACACTGCTCGCTACTACAACTCACTATACACTACACACTCCTCCCATTACTCACTACTCACGACTCACTACTCCCTACTCGCTATCCACTACTCGCTGCTCATTGCGCAGTACTCGCTAATCACGACCCACTGCTCATTACTCACTACTCCATACTCACTGACACTACTCACTACTCACGACTGACTACACACGACTCACTAATCACTACTCACTACGCACGGCTCGCTACTCACTACTCACCACTCACTTCTCGCTACGCTCCATTCATTGGTCATCTCTCAGTTCTCAAAACTTACTGCGCACTACACACTACCCATTACACACAGTTCACTACCCACTACTCTCTACTCCCTACCCCCTAATCGCTACTCATCGTTCACAGCTCATTATAAACTACTCACAACTCACTACTCAGTACTCGCTACTCACAACGCAACTCGCAATTCACTACTCACTACTCGCAACTCACAACTCACGATTTGCAACTCACTATTCACAAGTCGCTACTCTTTGCCCACTACCCACTATTCACTATTCACTATTCGCTACTCACTATTCCCTACAACTCACTACTGCCCTTTACTTAGTACTCACTACTGCTTACTCAGTACTCGCTACTGCTTCCTCACTACTCCCTACTCACTACCCAGTAGTCACTACCCACTACCCACTACTCGCTACTCACTAATCTTTTCTCACTACTCAATACTCACTATTCCCGACCCACTACTCAATATCGACTTCTCACTATTCACTACTCACTACGCCTTACTCACTACGCAATTCTCATAACTCACTTCTCGCTACTCCACTACCCACTATTCGATACCCACTTCGCAGTATTCACTACTCACTACGCCCTACCCACTACTCACTGCCCACTTATCGCTACTACTACTACTACTACTACTACTACTACTACTACTACTACTACTACTACTCACTATAGAGAACACAATTCTCCCACTACTGACAACTCATGACTCACTACTCCCTGCTCCCTACTTGCTATTCACACACGCTACTCAGTGCGCAGTACTCACAAATCGCTACTAGCTGCGTACTGCTCAATACTTACTATTCCCTACTCCGTACTCACTATTCGCTACACGCTAATCACTACCTACGACTCACTACTTACTACGCACGACTCACTACTCAGTACTCACTGCTCGCCACGCACCACTTTCTACTCGCTTATCAAAACTTACTGCGCGCTACTCACTACACACTACCCACTACTCATTAGTCACTACTCACTACACAGTACTCTCTACCTTCTGCTCACTACCCCCCTCTTTTCCAGCGCAAAAAGGGGGGTCCGAAGAATTCACCCCTTGGGGGGAGGGGGAGGGGTTCTGCGACCCCCCCCCCCTTTTCAATTACTGGGGCACTCAGTGGCGCGTTTTCCAAAACAAACATTTCGCTCAAAATGTCCTCAACAAATGATGCAAAATAAACGTTTCGCTCGAGACATCTGCGACCAAATAAGAAATTAACTTTACCATGTGTTTCATCAATTGGAATTTCAAGAACCAGCGTTTCTCCTGAGAGATCTTCAACAATGATTCCGCTGGTCCACCGAAACCCGTTATTTATCAAAGAATAATTCTGCTGGCCCACCTCAAGTCGGGGCCAAGGGGGAAACATCTAAAAGAGAACCCTGGGCCTCTGTCCTTTCCGGGAAAAAAGCTACGATGCCCAACAACAGATGCTGTCCGATATCGGCAGCGGCGGCTGTTGGGCTGGCGGCCGTCTGTGTCAAATGGACAACGTCCGCGGCGACGCCGACAGCGTGTCCCGATAAACTTTCGGGGCTCCGCACGGATCTCTTGGATCTGCGCTGGGACGGAGCGCAATGCCAGGAGCCCTGGAGCGCCGAACGCTTGTGCTTATGCCGTTTGCTCTTCTTTGAACTCCTGCTCCGGCACCGTGAACGCGCCTGGCCGCACCATCCTGCGGGACGGGAAAATGACCACAGCCACTGCTCCTTGTTTTCGCCGCCTTCGAGCCGGCCGAAAAAGAAGCAGTGGTTGTGGTCATTTCCCTGGTGCCAAGCTTAACGAAAATGACCACAACCACTGCTTTGTTTCTGCGGGCTGGAAGGCGGCAACAACAAAAAAAAACAGTGGCTGTGGTCGCTTTCGCGCCCCGTACATCCGTGCCCAGCCGAGCAGGGCGCGACCCGGCACGTCGCACTTGTGGATGACCAGCAGGCAGGCGAACAGCATGCTGCGGCCGAAGCCGCTCTTGCAGTGCACCACGACGGCAGGCGCCGGAGCCTCCTTCGGGCGCCGCTGCACGGGGGGGCACAATCAGTGGAGGGGAGGACACCGTGCAAGCTGGGCGTCGCATCCTCTCCACGGCGGTCGACTCTGAGCCTCACGCCGGGATGCGTTGCGAAGAAGCGCCACAGACAGATGGGGTCTGGGGCTCCAGGCGTGGTTCTCGGCGGTGCCTGCAGTCTTGTCGCAGCGTCGGATCTCGTGGAAGGTGCCCCTCTCGTGCCTCTTCTGCGCCCCAGGAGGGCAGTGCGCCTCCTTCGAGCCTCCTCCCTGCAGCCTCCGTCGGGGATGGACAGACCTCCCTTTAGTAAAGCGTGGTTTAGTGAAAACGACCTGAGGCCCAAACCTGGCGGGCGCGAGCCTGGAAAATAACGACCGCGGCGCCCTCTCGAGAACCGAAAACGGACAATTCACTAATCGACGCGTCACTGTTGGGGGTTCTGTCCACCCCCGACTCCGATCCCCCTCCATCCCTGGCTGTCTAGAAAAAGACAGGGCAACAACACCGAGCTTTCGGAGGCTCGCGTGGATCGGCGCAGAACCCGCTTCCCTGGCGCGGTCGCCGCCAGGGAGGCCCAGCGCCGACCCAAGAGATCCTCGCGGACCTCCGGCAGTGTATCTGCACAGTCGGGGCGTTGACCTAAGGAACCCTAAATAGGGAACGAGGCCCCTTTTTTCCATAAGTTAACCTTCGATTTCCGGTCGGAATCATAAGGAAAGCCTGAGGCAAACTGTGAAACACTTAAGGAACGCGGAGCCCCTCCCCAACGAAAAGGGTTCCTTCTTCAGGGCCCCGACTGTACGCTGATTTCCCCCAAGCAGTGCTTGCACTTAGGGTTTTTTGCAGTAGGAGCTCGCCCACGAGAGACCTTCCGCAAGAAACCCCACCCCGAGACCCCAGGGCGTCGATGGATAGTTGGTGTGGGAGCGACGCGCTCTCCCGCAGCAGAACCATCGAGACCCGCGAAACCCAGGGCACCCTGGGGGCAGGAAGGGTGTTCCTTGGCATGGGCCTCCACTGTACTTGCTCTCTTGAGGCATGGGGCGGGTCACCCGAGGCTTGGGCTTTGGTGCCCGCCCCGTGGCCGCCCCCACGCAGCTTGCATCACATAGCCTGCGTCACACAGCTCACACTGCTCAGTGTCCACCTCCATAACCGTCGGGGCGTTGACCTCAGGAACCCTAGATAGGGAACGCGGCCCCTTTTCTCCAGAAGTTCAACTTCGACTTCCCATCGAGAATCCGAGGAGAACCTGGGGCAAAGTGTGAAACGATGAAGGAACACGGAGCCCCTCCTCAACGAAAAGGGTTCCTTATTCAGAGCCCCGACTGTAGCTCGTACCACATAGCTTTCACCGCATGGCGTAACACTGCACAGCCTCCGCCTCCACACTTCAGCAGTGCACTGTTCCGGGCCCAGGCTGGCTGAGATTCTTCTTCGATCAGATAGTGAGGGCATTGGATACGGAACCGTTTGATGAGGAATCTAGAGTTTGGAAGCTGGTGGAACTCGAAGCGTAGACTGGCCAGGGCTTATCACCGCCGCCCTCATCAGATACGGATTCTTCCAGGGCCTGAAGACCCCTGGGCACACCTCTCAACCAACGCCTGAGACGAAGCCAGGACGAGGATAAAATCGGATGAGGATAAATCGAGGATCTCTGAAATCAGGCGGCTCTGGAGCAGGTCTCGGGTCCGCGGCCCTCTCAGAGCGTTCTAGAACGCTCTTAGAGCGTTTTGGAACGCTCTGGAATTTATCCTCGTCCTAGCCCCGTCCGATCTCAACCAATGCCCCCACCGTTCGGGGACACGGAGCACATGGGTTCAAAGGACTCAGGTTGGCCTGACGGGGCCATCATGAAAAATGACGAGACCTAACCTGAAATCTGACGAGACCTCCTGCTGCAAACATCCCACGAAGACTGAACCGTCAGAATCCAGGACGAGATCGTCAAAAGGCGCCAGCAAACCCGAGTTCCCGCGTACTCGGGTCTTACGTTTCCCCGAACCGTATCGCCCCCGATTGCGACACGCCTGACTCCTCCGAGGCCGGGCTGCTCCGGCTGCCCCCCGAGACGGGAGTCGGCACCCGCGCCTCGCCCTCCGCGGCCGGCTGGCTCCCGGCGTCGCCCCGCAGCGCGGTGCGGTCCATCTCCTGCAGGTTTTTCTGTTTTCCCCCATCGCAGCGAAGCTGTACACCAATCGAGCTCCAAACGCCGGCGAGGCCTTCATTAAAAGCAGCACGCGTAAGGGCAAGCAGTAGGAGAAAAGGAAGGAGGAGGAAGGAGACGGGTCCGTCTCCTGCAGGAAGGACATGATGAGGCGAGGCGGCGGGATGCCGCCGTTGACGTCCTTCACGAAAAAGTCCAGGTGGTGGATGCTCTGCTCTCTCAGGGCCGCGGGGTCGTAGCTTCCTCCGACCTCCCTGAGGCCCTCCTCGTTGCTGGCATTCGTGCGCACCACGGTGCCGACGCCGTGCTTACGCAGCAGGCTGATGAAGTCGAGGGCCTTCGGACGGCTGACCTGCTCGGGGCTGTACGCGTCCGCGCTCTGATAGGCCTTGCACACGCTGTGCAAGCTGGTGTTCCTATCCTCCTTGTCGTTCGCGTCCCCCAGCATCATGAGGCCGTCGACGCACTCGGAGTCGAGAGAGTCGGGCTCAATCCGGGTTCCACACGTTTTGGTGCTGTCCACCTTGACCATTGGCAACCTTAAGGAAGAAACGCATGCGTATACACAAACTGTCGGATCTCCGCGCGGATTTGTTTGGATGGCGAATTCCGAACCCTATCCCCGCCAACCATCAATTCACAAGAATCTATGGGAGACAGGGTTAGGATTCAGATTTCGCCACGTGTTCGACGAATTCCGAGCCCTACCCGCGCTGCCCACCGAGTGTCCTGAACCGTTGATCGGCGAGGGTAGGGTTCGGACTTGACCGCCGACTCTTGGATCCGCGCTGGGCCCCCCCCATCCCTGGCGCGGAGACCCAAGAAAAGATGTTCACGGACGCCGTTTTCTGCAGGGCTCGACCTGAGCAGTGCTGCATGTTATCGTTATGTTATCGTGCTCCCTCGTTCCGCCTTCGCTCCGCCTCAAACGCAAACTACCCACGAAATCGCAAACGTACCGCTTGGATCGTGCCCTGTCTTCGCAGGAGAGCCCAACATCGAATCAATACATCGATACATCGATAAGCCGGTTCAGCGATCGAAATGAATCGGATCGGCAGAAATCGCCAACCAAGTCGGGAGAAGTCGGGTCGGCGGAAATCGGCAAGCTTGTAGGCCTTCATGCAGGAACCCAAACCCAGCTCGGAATCCGAAGGCGAGGCGGATCAGAATCCGAGGCCATCGAAATCAAATCGAATCGAGTCGGCGGAATCGAAACGAACCCTGCTTTGTAGCCCTCGAAACGTCCTCATGCTCGCGGGGGCCTCCTCGGGCTTCCCCAGGGCTTGCAGGCCCTGGAGCAGGCTCGGCCCCGGCTCCGACGTGAGCAGGGCGATGTGGGGCGCAGACGTGGAGGGTCGTCGAGCTGGCTCCTCCGGGTGGCGTCGTCGTCGTCGTCGTCGTCGTCGTCGTCGTCGTCGTCGTCGTCGTCGGCAGCGGCGGCGGCGGCGAGCTTGCTCCTCCCGGCGGCGGGCACGATGGGGGGGGCGGAGGGGGAGCCCTCTCCTCGAGGACCGTGGGGGGGCCCCTCGAGAGAAGGGAGCGGGGGAGGCCTTCCGAGAGGGCCCCTCGACGGGCAGAGGGATCGCGAGGAGGCCCCGACCCTCCTGGGACTTCGACGCCCGAAGCGGGCGGGGGAGAACGGGGCACGACGCCCTTTTTGGCAAGCGTGGTCCAAAACCGGCAGCGGCTGCCGTTGGGCAGGCGGCCTCGTCTTCTGTGGACACCTTCCGCGGCGACACCGACAGCAAATCCTGCTCGAATTGAGCAGGATCTGCTGTCAGTCTTCACGCCCGTCCTTTCCGTACCCATGTCGCTCGTCCCGCGAGGAAGCCCCCCGCCCCGGTGGAAGGACGCCTCCTTCGCCGCCCCCGCCCCGCCGGCACGAACCCTCTCGGCTTCTCGCGCGGGCAGGGGACGGGACGCCTCTTCGCCGCACCCGCCCCCCATGCGAGTCTTATCGGCCTTGCTCGGGAGGGCGGGGGGGGGCCGTGGAAAATGCAGGAGGGGGCTTCCGAGCGGGCTGCTCAGGAGGGCCAAGGGGGCCTCGACTCCGATCCGCCGCCCGGCCGTGGGAGAAAAGGTGGGGGGGCCCGAAGGCCAGAATAGCAGGAAACTTCTTCAGCAGCGTCATTGCTCAAATCGAGAGGAGTTCCCACCGCATCTCGATTGCCCGAGCTTCCCCCTCCTCTGTCCCTGCGCACTCCTCACACACGCCGTATCCTGGTGCCGGTGCGCGCGGCCCTCGCCGTTGTGGCTGAAGAAGAGGAGGCGGCACAGCATGGGGACCAAAGGCCAGAACATGATGACGATGTTGCTGCTGCTACTGATGATGTTGATGATGTTGGTGATTATGATGCTGATGATAATGTTGATGATGTGAATCGGGTATTGACTATACGGTCTGGGAGCGGTGCTCGGCGCAGCCGTGATAAATGGACATGCAATCACGCGGGGCCCTCGGGCCCCACCGAGGGAGGAGGGGCGGGGGTGAGCGCCCCGTGGCGCTCATCGGCTCGGGCCTCCCGCCTCCGAGCTGCGCCCACGCGAGCGGCTGCGCTGGCGGCTCAGCGGCTCAGGGCGGCCGCCGCCGAGCTCGGCACTTGCGCCGCTCCGCGCGGGGTGCCTCCCCTGCCGCGCCCTCCTCAGCGCGGCTGCCTGGCGGGCGCTGGCGCCTCCCGCGCGCTGGTTGCGGAGCGACGCAACTCTCGCGCCGTCCGCGCAGCAGCCGCAGACCGCGCAGAAGACGAGGCGGCGCTGTCCCACGCCGGTGGCCGCTCACATTCCACCATCGCGGGCGGCCGCCCGCGTCCTCGGCGCCCACGGCTGCGCTGCCCTCCTCCGCGCTGCCGTCGCCGCACTGGGCGCCGCCGCGCGCCTGGGACGCCGTCGCCGCCGCCGCTGCGGCGCCAGCGGCGGCCGCTCCCGCGCCCTCGGCGCCTCCTCGGCCCGCGCTCGCGGAAGTCCGCGCGCGGGCCCGCCGCTCGCCGGCCAAGGGCCTGGCGCTCCCGCCCCGCCGCTCGGGGCCCAAGCGGTCCACCGCGGACGGGCGCACCGACCGAGCGGCCCACGCATGCGTCGCAGAGCCAGCGCGTCCCGTGCGAATCCGAGACCGCAGTGCCGTGCGCAGCGCACGGCTAATGCCCGCAGCCTGGCCCGCCGTCGCGGCAGCGCGCGGCGCCTCGTCGCCGGCGCCCGCGCCCGCAGCAGGCGGGCCCCGCGGTGCCCGCGCCCGCGCCGTCGACCGCCGCGAGGGCGTCGCTCCCCAGCTGCAGCGCCTCGCCGAACCAACGAGCCGTCGCCGCCGCGATCGCGTCGGCCAGCTCGATCCGCCTCGCCGCCGCCTCGCGCGCGGGGCGGAGCTTCGCGCCCTCCCGGGCGAAGCTGTCCGCGGCGCGGTTGCCCTCGTAGTCGTCCGGAGCGGTGGCGCCGTCGCAGACCGATGGGGGCGCGGCGTGCCCCGTCGCCTTGGTGGCCCGCGCGTGCTGCTGGCCTCCGAAGCTCTCCGCGGCCCGCAAGAACTCGCGCCGCATCTCCAGGCGCGGGCGTTCCCACGCGCGGCGCCGGGCCCTGCCCGCGGCGAACCCCGTCGCAAGCAGCTCGCAGTCCGTCCCGATCTCGAAGGTTCCGCCCGCGCCAGGCTTGCCCCAGCGCAGGGCGCGGGCCGCGGCCAGGATCTCGCCCGCGCTGGCGCCCTGCGGCGCTCGGGCGGGGACGCGCCCCCGGGCGCCGCGCGCCGCGCCGCGGGCCTGCAGCGCCGCGAGCCCCCAGCCAGCGCGCACCTCGGGCGACCCCGCCTTGCGGCGCGTCGTCGAGCCGTCGGCGCACAGTGCGCTGGCGCCCGCCCGGGCCCCGTAGCCGCAGCTGCTGCTCCAACGCGCCTCCTCGGTCTCCAGCGGCGGCGGGGGGGCGGCCATTTGGTCGGGGGCCAGGGCCCTCGAGTAGCGGGGGCCCTCGCTGTCGGGGGCCGCGGCCACGTCGGCGAACGCCGGCAACGCCTCGTCGCCCGCCGTCGCGCCTCTCCGCCGCGAGGGCGGGGCGCCGCCAGGCGAAGTGCCGCGCCGTGCCGCGCCGCGCGGGGCAAGCGCCCGAGCGGCGCAGCGGCGAGTCGAGGACGGCTGGCGAGCGACGGGCCAGAGCCCGCCGAGGGCTGCGTTGCGGGCGCTGGACCGCCGCGCCCGCTGCTCGGCGTTCGCCTGAGTGTCGTGCAGCCGCCGTCGGAGGCCGCGGACGGCGGCGCCGCTGGCCGCGTGCTCGAGGTCCTCGTCGCGAGCTGCAGCCTCGCGCCAAAGCCAGCGCAGGCGCGATTCGCGGATGAGCCCGCGGAGCGCGCGGCCGCCGACCTCCTCGAGGTTCAGCGGGGCCCCGTCGTCCACGGCCCCGCGGTGCATTGCCGTTGAGCTCCAGCCGAGCCTCTCGAGCGCGAGCAGCGCTGCCGTCGCGGGGCCGCCCCCTGCCAGGCCGCTGGGGCCCTGCTCGAGGCGAACCCGCACGGCGCGCCTCCACGCCCAGGAGCACGTCGCCGGCGGTGCCCGGGCGGCCTCGCGCGGCGAGCCCGCGCCCCCAGGCGCGCGTCGCCAGCTCAGCCGGCTGCCAGCGCGAAGCCCGCCCGCAGGGGTCGGGCCCGCGCGCTGCCGAAGGCGAGCGACCCGACCGCCGAGCGCCACTGCTCGTCGGGCGGAGGCCGCCCGCCGGCAGGCGCATGGTGGCGCTGATGGACTGGCGCCGCACACCTGCCACCCGCCCCAGCTGCTCGCGGGCCTCGGCGAGCCGCTTCCTCGCCGCCCCTGCCGCGGCGGAGCCGTTCAAGCAGAAGTCCGCGCCCAGTTGATTCGTGGCCTTCGTCGGCCTGGCACTCAGCGCGCTGGATTTCAGCGCCGCCTGGACCTCGCCCCGCGCCGGCGCGTCGGCGGCCGCCGCCTCCGTCTTGGCCCCCGAGATCCTGCAGCCGAGCGCGGCGAGGCCCGCGGCCGCCGCGAGCCCCGCCTCCACCAGGTACTTCGCGATCGCCCGTCGTAGAAGACGTGCATGTCGGACTGCAATTCACCGCTGCTGCAGGCGCCGAACTCCTCGGCGCGCGCCTTCGCCACTGGGGGCATCGCCGCCTTCGGACTCCCCCCCGCGCGCGGGCAACCAGCCAGCAAGCCCGCGTCCAACGCGCGCGCCTCATGCAGCTACGACGGCGCTCGCCCGCGCGCGACGTCGCCCGTGGTGGGTCGACATGGCGCAGCGGACCAGTCTGCCGTGCAGGCCAGCTCGGCGGGCCAGATGTTCGGCTCGGGCCAGTCGCGCCGTCTCGCACGCCTTCTCGAGGTCGATCAGCAGCGCGGCTCCGCGAAGCTGCTGCGCCCCTGCCGCCTTGGCGGCCAGCGCCCGGCGCCGCGCTGACTCCCGGGCCGAGCGCCCAGGTTCGCCCCAGAAGGCGCCTGCGCCGCTGCCGCGGGGGGTGGCTACCCAGCGCCGCGCCTCGGCTTGCCTGAGCTGTTTCCAGATCCGCGGGGCGCTGGGCAGCAGTCTGATGGGCCCCCAGCCGCCCGCGGGCTCGGGCAGCATCGCGATGAGCGCCGCCCGCGCCGCCAGAGGCCATCCGCCCCGCCCCTCGGCCGCCGTGCAAAGGCCCGCGAAGAGCTCGGCCGTTGCCGCGGAGACCTGGGCGAGGGCTCGGGGCGACGCGCGGTCGACGCCCATGCCCGTTCGCCTCGCGAAGGACCAGTCGGCCTGGGCAGCGCCCCCGGGTCCGACTGGCTCTCGACTCTCGAAGTCCCGCCGTCCGAGCGGTCGGCCGCTCCAGACCTCGGTCGCCCAGCGCCCGTCGATGGCGCCCACCTCGCGCTGGCCAGCTCTCGGGGCGCCCAGCATGTCCAGCTCGCCCTCGTGCCAGCCGCGCGGGCCGCGCCGCCAAGCACGGGGCCAGCCTGCGCCGTGCTCGAGTGCCTCCAGCACCCATATGTTGAAGCGTTCGCGACGGCGTCGGCTGCGCTCGGCGGCCCCGAGGCGAGTTTCGGGGGCCAGCGCCGCCAGCTCGTCGGCGGGCGCGACGGCCGCGGCCGCCACCGTTGCGACCCAGCGCGCGCCGCAACGCCTGGCCGCCTGCGCCGGCAGGCGCCGCTGCGCGGCGGCATCGCCCAGGCAGTCGGCCACGGTGAGGAGTCGCCGCGCCTGTCCGCTCGACTTGGGACCGCCCGAGATCTGCGGGTGGTCGGAGGCAGGGCGCGCCCAATGTTTCTCGGGCTCGTGGTCGCGCCCGCAGTGCGCCTGCTCGTCCAGCGGGTCGTCGATGTGGAATGCGCAGCAGAGCTCTACCTCGGCCTGGCGCATGGCCCCGAAATGGGCCTCCTCCATCGCGGCTGGGGGGGAAGCCGCCAAGGCCGCCAGCGCCCGCGGGTCGGCTGGCGGCGGGGCGGCCTCGCGCCGCGGGCCGATAGGCAGCTCCCTCGGGAAAGGCCTCGGCTGCTTCAGGATCCGCACCAGCGCGATCTCCATGCGCGTGTTCACCGCGAGCTTGACGGCGCAGCGCCGCCTGAACGGCCCAAGGGTGACCGCGCTGCAGCAGCTCGAGGCCTCCGCCAGACCGCTGCGCACGACGAAGTAGTCGAGGTTCACTGGCACGGCCGCCTGGAAACAAGTCTCGCCCTCGACTGACTGCACGATTGCGCCCTGCACCGCCTCCAGCCACCAGCCAGCCTTCGCTTTGAAGACGCCAGGCGCGTCGCTGGAATCGCCGCCGATGACCCGCGGCCTGCCCTAGGGAACCAGCGCGTCGCCGATCTCGATGAGGGCCCGCAGCGATGCCTCCACCGCCATGTCGCTGGCCAGGTAGATGCTTCCGAGGGCGAGGCCGCCGCGGCGGACTGCGCCCGTCGCCGCGACCATGCCGCGCCCGTCGCTGCAAGTCGCGCGGCCGCCCCCCGCCGCGCCGGCGTTGGCCAGGCCGCGCGCGGCGGGGGCGGCGACGCCGACGCCGCCCGACGCCGCGCGGGCGCCGCCCGCGCCGCCGCTGCCAGCCGCGCCAGGCGCCAGGACAGACAGCCTTCACCCCCGCGCGGCTGCGCCGCGCCCCCTGGGCGCAGATGTCGCGAGCGTGGAGGTGCGTCTCCTGGAGCAGAGCTCCCCCGAACGCGGCCGCAGCGACCCCCGGGAAAGCGCGAGATTGCAACGACGCTCCTGTGGGCAGGCCCAAACGCGACGGAATGGCGGCGCCTGTCCCCAAATTATACAAGCACCAACACTCCAATGCTGTTCTAAACCCTGCAGGCACCCCCAATGCACCCAGACGTCCCTGACGCAAGCCAGGGCATGTCGCTGCAATCAAACAACCAGCCACTCAGCGCGTCGCTGCGTCCTGACGCGCGGACGCTGAGCCAGAGCGCGCGCGCGGCAGGCTGATCGGGCGCAGTGGCAAGTGCCCCATCCACCGGGCGGCACTGTTCACCCACGCCGACCCCGGGCAAGGGTATGTTTAGGACCAATGACAATTGGCACATCGAATCTTCTTCTGCAGGCCGGCCGACATAACCCTGGTGAAGCCAAGATTCGCTCGCTCTCTTCCGGTGAAAAAAAACTCTAGATCAAGGCGTCTCGTAGCTTCCATCTTTCGCGCCTCGGCCCAGGCGCGTCGCTTCTCCCACCCGTGTTTCTCCGCGGGCATGAGGTCCTCTTCGTTAAAATCCTGGGAGTCCAAAGACTCGAGAAAGACCTTCGCGTCCTCCTTGGGCAGCTCGAAGGAGTCGCCCGCGTCATCGCAGTAGGTTGCTGCCTTCTCCCACGCGGCCGGCGGAGGCGGGGCGTCCTCGGCGCTGGAGAAGTCGGCCTGGTAGGTCTTCTGATCTCCAAGAACGCTCGATTGTTCTGGATGTTTGCCTTTCTCTCGAACGTCAAGGAGGAGGAGGGCTTGTCTTATCGAGGCGAAGTCACGTAGACCACCAGACAGAGCAAGAAGGTTCATCATGTTCTGGGCGCTTAAGGTGGCCCCCCCTCCTCCAGATATCCAGCGTTGATCGCGTCTGGCACGGTCAGTCCGCGCAATTCGGCCTCCGTCACTTAGGCGCCCCGTCGTACAGCAGAATCGATGATAGACTCGTTGCGCCTGATTGCAGACTCGAAGAACGCGAGGTCGTGGGCTTCCCGTTCTTTGTCGCCCGGCCATTCCCGTTGAGGATGGAGGGGTGGTCGAGCAACTTAGAGATCCCGTCCTCCAAGTCGAGTGGCCCTAACGAGCCGGAGCTTGGCCTGGACGTCTATAAGAAGAGTCTCGAGCACCTTGCTGGCCCGCACTTCTTTCCTGAAGCCCGTCCTCAGCGACCAGAGTCTGAGGTTCGATCTAAACAGGTCAAGGCGCTCGAAGCCCAGCCAGACCGGCGGGGCGCCGAAATCTCGATTCGTGTCGGAGCGTTGATTACCCGACCATCCCCATGATGATGCTGCCCAATCAGCTCCCCCGTCGTCCCAAGACCCTCGTGCCCACCAGGCTGACCAATCCCAGCCTGTCCAGTCTCCGGCCCACCAGTTGTCGTCATCTGCTGCTGGTGGACTGGTCGATGCTGCTGCCGTCGCTGTCTGGCTCAGCTGCACCTCTCGCGCTCTCCTGAAGAGCTCTGAGCGTAGCTCTCCTGAATTGGATACGCCTGGTTCCGCCGTCATTAGCGGATGGTCCTCAGGCTGCCCTCCGGACACAGTTCCGCTTACCATTGTCCCAACACTACGGAGCACGGCACGAGCGGGGATCTGGGGGCGAGCGACCTCTTCCACCAGTGTGCGGAAACGTGTCATGGAGCCCAAACGGGCTTCGTACATACGAGCCTGCACACCTAGGCTCAGTCACGAAGGGAGAAGGGACGGGAAGAGAGGAGGGGAACCTCGGGACCCTCGGGGAAGGGGCCCCTCCCTGGGCTCATGAGGGACAGACGCGACCAGGGAAAGCAAGGAAGTGAAGGAGGCGAGGACACACAAGCAAATGGGAAAGAGCATCTGGAGCCTGATCGCAACCAAATCCGCGCATGAGAGGTGTCAAAATGTGGACCCGTCGCAAGGTGATCCACGCTCTGGCGATCGGTTTGAGGTAAACCCAAATTCTCATCGGCGTCGAACGAATTATAACGAATTAAAATCCTGTCACCGCCTCCACATCTCCTCGACTCTCGGGGGAAGACATGGGTGGAGGGCGGCGGCAAGACGGCGATGATAGAGAAGGCAAAGGGAATCAGGAAAGAGGCGAGAGGTCAAAGCAGAGGAAAGAAATAATTGTGGGCCCGTAATTCGGGCACGCTGGCGGCGCGCCAACTCGCGCCACACTTCCGCGATTGCCGCTGCCATGCGCAAGCGGTGGCGACGGGGGTGCCCTTCCGCTCCACTGAGCGACTTGTTGTGCTATGCTGTGCCGAATGGCCCAACATGAAGCCGACCACCTACCACTCACGTAGTCTACAATCGTGCTGTGCTGCATGGCGGCGTCGGCGTGACGATCCAAGAAACCGTCCGACCACCCCTCCGGAATACCAGTGGCCATGCGCGAGCCAGAGGCAGCGGTGGCCACGAGCACCGAAACTGGTACCCCCGAGCGAAGCCAGGCCCCAAGACTGAACGATTCACTGCATTTTCTAAAGAAGCTCGGCGGGATGCGCAGCATCCTATGGAGAGCCCAAGCATATGCACGCAAGGCGTAATGAAAAAAAACAGCTAAGAATCATTTTTCCCGCAGCGCGCGAGAGCCCCAACTCCACGAACAACCACGCAAGCGAGCACTCCATCACGGGCGACAAATCACTGGAACTTTAAGCTTGTGGGGAAAAGGCCGCACGAGCGACAACATCCGGTACTGCGCACACGCGGGCGAGACAGCCGAAGATTGAAAGGCAACGCGCGTCATACAGAAACATAACGATGGAAGCTGCAGTGGGCGCTCTGCTCCCGCCCGTCGCCCGCGCCCGAGCCCACCACGTCAGGCCCGCAGCACCCAAACGTCCACGAACGGAGGAGGAGGAGGAGGAGGAGGAGGAGGACGAGGAGGAGGAGGAGGAGGAGGAGGAGGAGAGGAGAGGAGGAGGAGGAGGAGGAGGAGGAGGAGGAGGAGGAGGAGGAGGAGGAGGAGGAGAAGGAGGAGGAGGAGGAGGAGGAGGACGAGGGGGAGGAGAGGGAGGAGGAGGAGGAGGAGGAGGAGGAGGAGGAACAGGAGGAGGAGGAGGAGGAGGGTTAGGCAGGAGGAGAAGGAGGAGGAGGAGGGTCCAGGCAGGAGGAGGAGGGTCAAGCGCTACAGCCCGCTGGTACTAAATCTCGGGCGACGTAAAAAAGGAGAAAGAAGAAGAGGTCGCTCGACGTTTCGTCGACTCTCTCTTTCTCTCTCTACCAAGTATTGCCTCCAGCGGCACCAACCACCCACCGGCCACGCCGCAGCCAACCAGCCTCCATTCCGCCTCCTTAAAATGTTAACGCTGTTGATCGTTCGCCGTTTCGTTGGCTTCATTGACCTCCCTGTGCCACACGCTGCGACAGCCACGCACCAGCCACGCCGCAGACAGCCACCCAGCCAGACCTCCGACCTAAACATCGAATCGCAAGTTGTCCTTCGCCGTCTCGTCGTGTCCCTCTACCTCCTTGGCGCATCTTCTAAATGTCTGTTTATTCTCCGCCTCCCCCTCATTTCCGCCGACACATCCCCGTAGAGAAAACTTTGCTGAGGGGTATTGAAGCTTTCGCTACGAGATTCCAGGTAGAACCATCGCGCCCGTTTCGCGCGCGCACAGGTTCTAGTTTACGAAGGGAATGGGACCACTTTTGCCTCTCGGGGCCCTCTTGGGGGACAAAGTGCACGTGTTGCGAGGCGTCTTGGGAGCCTCTTGGGGGCTGCTTGAGGGCCTCTTGGGGGCCTCACGGGGACCTCTTGGGGAGGGGGGCTCGCAATTCCAATTCGATGTACCCAGCTCGGGCTCCTCTTGGGGCCATTCGGGGGCTGTTCGGGCCACGCCATCTCCGCTGCCTCTCGGACTGTCTTGGGACCCTCTTGGGCCGTGTTGGCGCCCTGTGCGGGGTCCCTTGGGCCGTGCTGGGGCGCTCGCAGGGGCCCCCGAAGCTGTCAAGGACGGTACGACGACGAAAAACACGAATGCGGTTGACACGTACGTTTTACGAAAGGAAGGGGGCAATTTTTGCCTCTCCAGGCCCTCTGGGGTGTCAAATTGCACGGGTTATGGCGTTTTGGAGGCCTCCTGTTGGCTGCTTAGGGGCCTCTTGGGGGTCTCTGGGGTCCTCTTGGGGCGTGGGGTTCGCAATTCGAATTGGATTGGCCCATCTTGGGTTCCTCTTGGAGCCCTCTGGCAGGCCGTTGGGGCCGTTTTGGGTGCCTGTGGGACTGGCCTGGGGCCCTCTTGGGCCGTCTTGGCGCCCTCTGGGGGGCCTCTTGGGCCGTGCAGGGGCGATCTTAGGGGCCCCTGAGGCCGTCAAGGATGGTCCGACGACGAAAAACACGAATACGGTAAAAACGCACGTTTCACAACAAAAATTCGCCGGCCCAACGGGCCAGAGGCGTGCTAAGATCCCCGATAACATCTAAACAATATTTCTACTCCGCGCGCGCGGGGCGGCCCCTGGGGGTCTCCGGGCCGAAAATACCCCGGGCGCGGCCCGGGAGACCCCCCCAGGGCTCTCAAGATCGCCCCAAGAGGGCCCCGAGAGGCACCCAACATGGTCCAAGAGAGGCCCGAAACGCCCGAAGATCGCTCCACGATGCTCAAGCTGGCATCCAGA